ATGCTGCTCAACACTCACATGAATAGAATACTGTCTCATGAAAAACATTCTGGCAATAGCTTCAGTTGAAAAGGCAGGGGAAGGGGAGGTGACTATCTTACAAAGTAGTAAAACCTCATAATTTCTGGTGAGAAAATTAGTTCATCATGGCCCAATACGCAGTCAGATTGAGGCTTGTATTCCATCTGTAGTCCACATGGGTATTTAAAGAAGAGACATCATATGAAATGATGGAGACTTCTGTGATGTTACAGGCCAGAATTTGACTGGGATTTATATGAGAAAATTTTGTTACTTCTTACCCAGAAAGCTGCTTGCAAATTGCCATCAAATCTAGATCAAATTTAGAAGTATGTATAACAGAATTTATCGGTTATAAGTATTGTGTCAGTAAGTGGTTAAAATGATGTCTTTTTAAAAAACCTTTAGGGGAAATAAAGGCAAGAAAAAAGTTCTGAAATCATACAACTTCCTAAAAATGCCAAATTGCCAGTTTCACTTTGATTTGCTCTTAGTGATGTCATGTTGGATGTCACCAATCACCGTCTTACTTTCCATGTGTCTTAGCATAGTTTCCAGGAGAATCTGATCCACGGTCTTGCTGGGCACAGAGGCAAGACTGGCCCTCTTCTTCCCTTTTTTCCTCTTTAAAAATGGGGATTATGTTTTCCGTTTTCTAGTCCATTGGAACTTCACAAGACTGACAGAACTCCTCAGATATGATAGAATCTAGTTCCCCCCTGAAACTCTTTTTGCTTCATAGGTCCTGGTGTACTAAGACTATATCTCAGTCCTGTGAAACACAGCTCTGTCAGAGCATCTTATATTAGCTGAGTAAGGAATTGAGTATTTCATATACATCCCAGCTGGAGTCAATTCTTCATTAGAACAAAGCCCATAATTTTTACAAGTACACCTACTGCCAGAATTCAGTGTCCAAATATAGTGAATATCATGTCAAAATGATAATGAGCAAAACAAATCTAAAAGAAAAATTCTATCTCTTGCTTGCGTCTGTGATGATTAGAACGGGAGTAATAGGTGAAAGAAACTGAAACAATAAATGTAACACTAATAGAGTTTTGTTCTCTCCCTCTCTCTCTTTTATTTATTTGAGCTCTGATAGCATTTAAAAAAATAAATAAATAAAATAGAGCAACTACAAGTTTATAGCCTAATCTCACAGGTAAGAAAGTTCTTTGTAGCTGACAATGAAAACAATGCAATCTTCTTTATCTCCATTTTACTAAACAGATAAGTTTATGTATTATGCAAAGGAATTCAAAACTGAAGTTCAGAGTTTTATATCACTTTAAAATGTAAGATAAAGGGAATCTGGAGCAGAATTTACAAATGCAGAACCAGTAGCATTTACAGCGGTTTATTTATGTCCTCCCATTTTTTGTAGACTCTGTGCTCTTTTTCAGTGAAGTGCAACTTCACTGAACTGCAGAACTTTTGTCTTCATTTTGCTATTGGTGTGAGAAATCATCTGTTAGACTAGGAACTCTCAGTTAGAAAGTCCAGGTTCGGCTCCTGATTCTGGAACAGTTTTGGTATGCAGCCTTGGAGGACATATTGTAATTACACATGAGGAAGTAATCTGGAGATCATATTTGATTTTCTATCTTGCAGAAATAATGCAAGAATTAATCAAAGTTTCCAAAACATTGGGAGATCCTGAAGCTGAATATCCTGAAGAACTACTAATAATTTATCACACTTCTTTTTGACCATATGCACAAAGTCAGTTAGATCTTGTCACAATACAAATTTGAGTGGTTTCTTATCTCTCCCTCTCATGGCTTTATGTAAAGAGCAAAATTATATTATTTTATGCATTTTTTTTATTATTCCACATGTGTTACATAATATAGGTAAATTTATACCCTATATTTATGAAAAAAATATTTGTTAAGTACTCTTCAATCTTTTATTGTTAGATTTATTTCTTAATCTAGATTTAACAGGATATTAAATTTAAACATGTATTTGGTCTCTCATACTGCTCATACTGAAGCATTTTCAATTAAGCCAGAAGGTACAAAAACTGTTTGGAGGCTAACCTATTCAAGTGTTCATTGAGTGAAATGAAATAAATAAATAAATAAATAAATAAATAAATAAATATAGTTTTAACTTGGCAGTGTCAGCAAAGCATAATAAGCAAGAAATGATAGAGTGGTAGCAGATGGATGCATAATTTTTATGAGCTATATACAAGTTGAAAATTTTGCATCTGGAAAATAACTTCAGTTTGGTCAAGTGTTACACTATTGAGACCTCCAAACCTATTGATGGCTTCCAGGATGAACTGGGAAAACTGAAAAATGCCTGTGAAAATTACGGCTACTGTTTCAAGTACTGAATTTGTCCCTGGACTACACTAAATGCTGTTTGGACTGATCTTTTTTTTTTTTTTTTCCAGTAGGGCATGATTTCTGGTCTTCCAAAGATTGTCTTTTAAAAGAATTGTAAATTTAATCATTTGCCTCACATCTTATCTTTAGTAACACTGATACTCCCTCCTTCAAATAGACAACTGATCATTTGAGAAAACTTATATCTATATCTGCATTTCCTGTGGAATGCCAAAGTCTTTCTCTGTGTTTTTTTTTTTTTTTTTTTTTTTGGTGGTGGTGTTTTTTTTTTTTTGTTTTGTTTTGTTTGTTTGTGTTTTTTTTTTTTTTTTTTTTTTTGGGGGGGGGGAAGCTACTGAGCTCAAAAAAAAGAAGCTATCTCAGCAAGTAACCCAGAAAAATGGATCAGTCTTCCCATATAGAACTGATAGGGAAAGAATGTACTTTCAAACTGCGTCTTCATCTTGCAACATCTATTTTGCATGCTAATCTAATCTCTAGAAGACAATATAGCTTTTAGTTACATGTTATTTTCATTCCATAATTTAAATGCATCTCTGGAACACCAGGAACGTTAACTAACTCTTAAAAGATAAAGCCAAAGGGGAAAAAAAGGAAGGGGAGCAACAGTTTCATTTATCAACACTGAGACCTGTGGGCTAAAAATATGTTATCTTGGAAGTGATCTGCATGAATAATGAAGACCAAGGAGCAGAGGTCCATGTCTACTAGATAAAAAATTTAAAACTGTTGTCCAAAAGGCCACGACTAGATCAGTCCATGTGCTGAAGGCATTTGCATGTTGAAGTCAGATCACAAACAGCCACATCACTTCTAGATGTAGTTCTCCTAATAAATGAGTAATAACTACCACCAATTTCATGCACAAACTTCTGCTCTCCAACTGTCCGGTACAGTGCCATCCTCCTTCACAAACTTATGGTGTTTTATACAATCACAGTGCCTGTAATGTCTGTACAGTAGCTGATGATAACAGTTATTTCGTTTTCATTCATGATTCCAATGTGGAAAGGATGATTTTGGTTACACCTGGTGATCAATCACCAATTTACAGCTGCAACAAGTTCATTGCATATATGATAATGGAATATAATTTGATCTTGACTGAGGGATGACAAGGCATGCAGCACCTCAAATGAGTTTTTGTTTTTTTTTGCAGTGAATAGTTATTATTTTTTGTTTGGATCTCAGGAGTCAAAGCTTCTTCTTTTTTATCTTTGATAGCGAAAGCCCAGATCTTCCACTCAATGTTTAACAAATCTTTATGATCTTCTTTTCTAAGAGAAAATAAGAACTTCAGGCATGTGTGGATAAAAGGATATTGAAGTACCACTAACCAAATTTCTTCCACTCAAAACTGCTTTGATTGAAAACTTTTCTATTCTATTGACAAACTATTTTTTCACAAAAAGTACTTTTATTTCCTTATTCTGCTCTGAAAAAAAAAAAAAAAAAAAAAAAAAAAAAAAAAAAAAAAGAAGTTAACACAAGATGTTCATTTCAGGAAGGCTGTAGAGCTGTAATTTGGAAACTTCTGTTCTTCTCCAATCTAAGCTTTCCAGGAGCTCTCTTCCTCCTGTTCACTGTTGCTTCTTTCTCTGTGTCTGGCACATGTATGAGGATTAGTGTCATCTGAAGCCCTGCTCCCACTAAATGTTGCAAATGCATTTCTAAATCAAAACACAGACATTTTTCGTTCTTCACTGAATTTTGCAACAGAGTCTATGGTTTACAGTTTCTTCTGTAGAAAAGCAACTTGTTTTCTTGAAATTTTGTCACATGAAAAACAATTTAACAGTTCATATTCCATGGGTTACTTCTGATTTATTTTGTAAATACAAAGGTAAAAAAGAGCAACCTTGATGTGGTGCTTTTGATGGGTTTTGAACTTGCTGTCATAACTTGCAGTCTAAAGTGATACAGTCTTCATTCAATTCTTTTTTCTTGCCATATTTCAAAATAAGGACAACAGATTGTAGAGCTGGGTACCACTAGATACTTGAAGAGTCCTAGTTTACTGAGCCAGTAAGTTCTTTAAAAGACAATACAAATGTCAGAAAATGTAGAGACTTGTACAAGTCCTGAAAGACTTTCCAAATTTCTGGGTATGGTAGCAGATATATTTATTTATTTAACTCTGCATACTACTGCAGTTGAGTGTAAAATTTGGCATCCTTCTATAGATTAATTAGAAACTTAGGGAAGAAAAGGGCCTATTCAGCCTGCTCCTCCTGATGGCCCCCAGGGACACATGCTAAGCAGGCTGGGTCTCCACCAACGTGCTGCTCGGTAATTGTTTACAGCAGTCAACATCCACTTTATTCTGCCATTGTCTTTGTGCCCACTTTATTCACCCACTGTCTTTGTGCAGCCACCACGCTGAGGGGAAAGGCTGCCCCAGCTGCTGGTGGCAGGGTGAGGTGAGCTGGGCAGGTGTGGGAGAAGCTTCTGGAAGATGAGGGGGATGAGGGGCTGGTGTGAGGCCCTGGCCCAGGGTGGGGGGGCGGGGGCTCAGCTTCTGGTCTCTCCTTAATGTTTTACAACATGTAGCTGTAACCTTGCTTATTTATTTATTTATTTATCTATCTATTTATCTATCTTCCTTTAATGGATGATAGTTTACACTTAACATGTTAAAGTTAATTGGCAGTGATCTAATTTCTAACTCAGAAGCGAGCGCAGCGCAGAGGTGGGCTAGGCCCTCAGATGGATTGAGAGGCTGAAGCAGCACTAACAGATGTTATCTAAAACATCGCCCACGTGTTTGATCTGATTTTTTTCCACTTTTCTGATCAACGGTTGGACAGCTTTGGTAAGTGTAATTGACAAAACAAAGAAGGATGAGGAAATACTTTTCTAGTCTGAAGAAGATGAAGTGACATTAGTTACAGAGCACATCCTGCCAAACCTCTTTGTGTTCTTATTGAGCCATCTTTAATGTGAGGCTCTTGTAAAACCTCATAGCTAAACCTTGTTTGTATTTTATTTATCTCTGACACATTTAGTGAAAATGTGCAAACATTTAGAGTAAATGAATTTAAAAGTACCAGATGAAAGGGAGACACCATAACTTAAGGTGCTTCACTAATAGTTTATTAAAAATGACCTGTTGCAAGAATTGTCTTATCTAGTGCAGTTTTTTTTAAGATGTTGTATTATAAAAACAATTTTATTTCAGTGTGTGATGCCTTCAAAGTCACTGTATCATCTGGTAAGTTAAGAATTGATCTGCATTTCTGCTGCAGAACTCAGAACTGAATTTTAGTGGTCATGTTCATGCATCTGCACAGTTGAAGAGTAAGATATATGGATCTGCTGCCTCTGACTTGATTCTACATAAAGTTCAAGTGGGAAGCAAAGATGGCAGTAGCCACCGGTGTCACAGCAGAGTGACCCTTGCTATATAACAAGTTGTTAGCAACTGAAATTACTTCCTGCACCTGATGAAGGCACAAGAGGGTGAAGGCTGGGTTTTGCCCATGTCTCAAAGCGTTATTAAGTGTGACCATCTGAACTAAGGCCTATAAGCTGAGGTATTCAACCATGTGACGGCAGAAGTAAGTGTCACATCTCTGTCTTCCAGTAAACACTCCTTACCATTGCCAAACATAAACAGTTTGGTCACTTTCTTACTGTGTTTGATAGATATTTAAGGGAAAGGTAGAATATTTGATATTTAAAATATCTAGCATATCATTTTAAAATGCAGCTTTCTAAGAGCCAGCTTCTGAACATATCTGTCTTGTACAGATAAATGGAAAAATATTTTGACTTAAAGTAGAGAGGTGAGTTCCTGCAGCTTCCAAAGCTGTAGTATTGCCAGCCTTGTGGGCTCAATAATTTAATAAACCAGTTTGATCTTGGAGAGTCCTAGCAGATAAAACCGCCCATGCAGAAAGAACTGTTCCTCATATTACCCTCCTTTTCCTGATTTGCCATTTCAAATAGTAGCCAGATTCAGTGCCCTAGGAAAGAGAACATTCAAGACCTTAAAAATGGCATTACAGCTTTTCCTGAGATCGCATTAAAATGGATAAATTCTGCATTTGGTTATGTGACTTTATCATATTCTCATCATATGATTCTCATCATATTCTTATCATCATGGGGTGAGGAAAGAGAAATGCAGGTGACCAAGAGTGGTAGCAATAAGGCCCATACTCATATAGACATTCTTTAGATACACAGCATTTGTTGAATGAGTTTTTTTTTTCTCTCGCTATGGACTAGTTATTGTCATTCCTGTATTGGAAGCTTCCATTTAGAAATGGACTTCGGGAGTCTGACTGGGTGTAGGTGACCAGGCATGTCCAATTGTAACGTCCATATGTGAGTATCTTCAAGGGAATAGAATTACTTCTGCTAGGAATGGCCTTAGTATTTTTCAAGTGTTCTGGAACTGAACTCAGTTTCTTTTCTGTAAGCAGACACATAAAAAATAAAAACAGAATGCTTTTTTTGATTTTAATTTCTGTGACTGATTTACCTTTGGCTGTTGACTCTGGCAGTTCCTCAAAAAAAAAATCTCTGTATTCTGCCTCACTGTTCTTGGCTTGGGAAGCTTGAAACTGATGTCTATAATCAAATTACCATCGGAAGTGATAGATAATCACTTCTAGATTGCTAATGCCAGTAATATTTTCAGAAATTCTGGATTTGTTCAGACTTGGTTTTAAAAGGCTGTCATGTTATGGACAGGTCAAGAAATGCCAGTGAATGAGCTTTTTGGCCTTTTTTTCCACTCAGCTAAATTCAGGGTGGCAGGGATTCTAGCTACTCATTTTGTGCTTATGCCATACTCTAGGCTCTTGTGGTAGGAGAGCTCTCTCCAAGATACGTGTTATAGACCAGGAAAAAACAAATACCAACCAGGGAATTAGAAAATAAATAATGTTCTTGTTAATCTAAGATGACAGTGTTTTACAAAAGAATCTGGCTTCAAAAGGAGGGAACAAGCACTGCTGGGAGCTCACTGTTTTTAGAACTCACAGATTACAACCCAGAACGGCACGCTAGAAACTTGTGAGTAAAACCCGTTGTATGCTTACTGACATCTGGATAGCTGCCAACATCTTCATTTCAATAATTGCATGCAATCTCAGTGATTCCTGTACTATACAAGAAACAGATTCTGGGGACAGAGAGAGGAAAGCATGTTCTTTTCTTTTTTCTTTTTCTTTTTTTTTTTTTTTTTCTGGTGTGTGTGTGCGTGTGTACATAGGTAGAAATGACTAAGTGTTGTAGCAAGAAAGAAAATACAGTTTAATACTTCATTCCAGGGATACTAGTGGGATCTGGATTAATATCAAACAAACAAACAAAAAAAATCAGCTAAAATGCAGGTAATCTTAACTGCTTGCTCAGATCTTTAAATTTGCTTGCTTGAACTTTTGGTTTTCATGAACAATCAGATAATTGGGAATTTTACTGGAAAGCTCTGCCTTTAGAATGTGGTAATGTGTGTTGGTTTATGTGTAGTTAAGTTTCTGTAGTAAAATTTTTATTAGGTAAACTATCACTGTGCAAGGCAACACTGCTCATGTTTTTCACATACTTTTTTTTTCTTTTTTTTTTTTTTTCCTTGCTGAATATGTATTTGTATGTCACAAAGCCAGTTACTCGTGGAAATCAATTTTTAAATACCTGTGCATGTCTATTCTCAGAAGTAGGTTATCTTTGTTCATCCAGTCAGGAAACGGAAAAATACCACATTATCTGTTTTTTGAACAAAGCTCAGCAAAAGTCTGAATAGTCACTGCTGAGTCCTACATTGGAAAATGCTGAGAAGAGATTTTGATACATTTAAATAATGCAATTCCATTCAGAGTGTTCTAGCAAAATGATAAAAAGAGAGAGGCTAAGTTTGTCAAACATATTATTCATGGCAAACCATTCATTCAACTTTAACAAGCATGCAACAGATGCTGTATTTTGCATGCTGCTACACCACCTCTTCAGTGACTCTAAAAAGTGACATGTACTGAGGAGTCTCTATCCTTACTTCTCATGCAGGCTAGATCATCAGAAATGTTTTCTTATAGCTGCAGGCAATATCATCATTCCCTGTCTTGTGCTCAGTTCAATTAAGACAATATGCATTTAATCCTCACTGCTCTCTTTTTATCTCCCCTTCTTCTTATGTTTCTACCGCACTGTTTTTTTCCACTATACAAGAGTTGTCCTGAATACTGATAAAGTTAATCTTGCTGTAAATTACCAGAGAAACAGGCTAGCCCTGTGGTGTCTGGTTTTGCAAACATCAAACTTTCTGTGTTCAGAAGGTTCCAGGAATTACCTATTTTTCCAACCTTTATTTTTTACACTGTTTAAATCTATGTGCTTTTCATTTTCAAAGTTTCCCAGTGAAGACTCAATACAAAATAAAACAAAATTATATCAGCTCTCATAAAGCCTGTATTAATGTTAAGGATTAGAAACCCCCAGAAGTTAGTCTTGTCCAACAGCGAAGTTCCCGGTAATAGTACAGTTGTTGTTATTGCTTTGTTTCTTTATATTTTTTGGTCTTCATTTTTTGATTTTCAAGCCATTGAGCCCTCATGGAGGCTTTTCTACTCACCTTCTTAGTTTTTACTTTTTTTTTTTTTTTTTTTTAACCTTAATTGAAATGGAATTAATTTGAAAGATGAACTTCTGACTTCTGAGGTGTTTCAACATAAAAAGGGAAGTGGTACACCTCCACTGTCAAAAAAGCTGCATCATTAGGAAATTAATTCAGGATGTCAGGCTAAATCTTGAAGCCCGACAGGCCAGATTAAGTGACTGACAGAGTCTGCGTGCTGTTACATGCAGGGTGCACCCTTTGTCCTTTTCCAATAGTGCCTATGCACTATTTATGACTCAACAGTTGCTTTGCTTGTTAAAAAATGAATGTATACGTTCGTGCCTAAGTTAAGATACAACTTGGACAATACACAGAAAGAATCTTGGGGAAGCTTTCAGAGGCTCATATGGTCATTGTAAAAATATTTCCCCCTTATTTTTAGTAATTGTTTTATTGCATTACCTACAGGTAATGCTAGAAGTTATTTTTATGTGCATCATTTGCAGAGTAATCTCATGGTTGAGAACAAACATCATTGCTTGTTATTAGAGGGACTACATAGAGTATTTGCAACAACATTACAGGAAAATTAAAACAATAACAAAAAATTTTAAGAGAGTACATGTACAAGCAAAATCACATCCCGTCTCAGATTTTTGATTATATGGCAGTGGAAATACTTGTTAATGTGTCTATATTAGAGATCTAAGGAAATTATTTTAAAAGACCTAGTTTAAAATATTTTAAAATATTTTAAAGCTGAATTTTAAAATTTAATTTTAATGACAAAAATCTATTTTTAACAAGGTATCAATACAACAAATGAAAATTCATTAAAAAATTTACATTAGAAATCTCACAAAACAGGCAAAAAGGTTATCCAGATTTTAAACTTTACAGAGACGCTGAAGTAGAGATGAACTTGCTTGTCTTTGTCCTTCAAAGCAAATTTTCCAATTAATATTTTCTGTTTTTTGAGTGACTCCTATTTATAATAGATCAAGCCTCAAACCTTAGATCAGAATGAAGAGCATTAAGGTTATTTACATCTAGGATGTGCCTTGTTTTTGGTTTTTGTTTTTTTTTTTTTTTTGGTTCGTTTGATTTTCCTTTTGATATATATATATTTTTAAATTTGAGCACATTTTATGTCTGGGATATTATGTCGTGATTGCCTTGTGTTTCAGGGACAAGGGAAGTATTTGGTGTACCTATTAATTTGTTTATAAACCTGTTTGTTTGATTTGGTT